AACTGTTGATTGAATTTATAGGCATGCTAACCCGTAATTGAATGAAATTGTTTATTCATTATGAAACATGACATAAAGTTCCAGAAGAAGTTAAGGTTGATGCTTTAAACTTTATTGAGGTATTAGTATAATTAATTAGATATAAAAAATTTTTTATTTTACATTTTGTTTACTTATTCAAACTTTTCTTATTGTATTATTACAGTAAAGATTTGTACTTGAAATACCAACTTCATTTGTATTTCTATCATATACGTAATTATTTTTATGGTTTAAGTTGGTAATATTTGTATTTCTATCATATACGTAATTATTTTTATGACAGGAAAGAGAATAGATTGGCATTGGTAGCAGAAAGCAACATAAATATAGCCACACAAGTGGATCAAAAAGTTTGGCAAGAAAGCAAAAAGCAATAGTAAGTTTATGATAATAAACTTATTCCAATAAATGTACTTTTCTGCTGTTACAGGGTAAATATGCAAATTATACTTACATGATATTATACTTATAGAAAGTTTTGAACTTAGTTAACACGGATGATATGTATGAAAAAGTTATTGTTTACGTATATTTAGGTAAAAATACAAATTTGTTGTTATTGTTGTATTTTAACAATTTGGATAGCTTCAATACTTGATATTAAATTTGTCTGATTGATTGAACTTGGTTTCTACGATTGAATGAGAGAAAAAGTTATCGTTTATGTCTATTTGGGACTATTTTTGCATATAAAAGGCAACTATACAAATTAAACTTTTGGATGGCTTTCAACATATTGAATGGCTTCAATGTATGATATTAAACAGAGAGAAATAATTGAATTTGGTTTCCATGATCGATATATGTGAAAGCCTAAAATGCTTTTATTGTTTGCGTATGTTTAAGACTATTGTGTTGTTATGGGGCCAAAATACAAATACATGATATTAAAATTATTCAAAATTTTAATACTTGATTGACAGGCTTAGTATGCATGAATAAGTTGCAGTTGATATGTATCCTATCAAATAACATATGTTTTTGTATAAGAGAATGAGATGGGCAGTAAAATTAGACGTGTGAAACTTTGTCGCATAACACACACAAAAAAAAATGAATCTTACATGAATGTTGAAACACAAGAAATTGTGGTAATTTGTATCATCTATTTTAAAAATGGTAAATATTTACTCTTTTTAACTTTTTATCAATTAATCATTAAACTTGATAGTTGTATATGACAAATTCATAAGAAAAAGTGAAAGAGAAATGGCTGCTAAGATTGAAGTAGCATATGATGGTTCTCTCAACATGTAAGAAATGAAAAATCGAATATTCATAGAAGTTGCTAGAAAAGAAAGGCATGGACGGATCCGGGGCCTTGGATTAGGTCCAACACCATCTATCTACTATGGACATAGCTTTTAGTAATTTACATTCTCAGCAAGTCAGTCTTCACGAGACATATCAATATTGGAAGAGGAGTTGCAAACTATGCAACAATGTTTTCAGCAAATAGAAGCAGAAAGAGAACAAGAGCATGCCAAAATTGAGAAAGAACATACTAGAATGGAGCAAGAGCGTGTAAAATTTCAGCAATTGCATGATCGATTCGATCATCTTATGAATTTTGTGCAACAACAATTTCTAGGAAATGATCTTGGTGCTCCACCAACTTAGGTATTATATTTAGTAAATATTTAAATTTTTAAATATAAAAAAGCTTACACTGAAGTGTTAAAAATTGTATGGTATTATTTAGTAGGTTCTTGAGAACACCAATGACCAAGGTGAAAAATTTTATTCATCAATTGGCAACCAGCAACATGTATGTAGTCATCCATTTCATACATTTTAATTTTTATTTTGTTAATGTATTAAAAATATTTGAATGTTATTATACTAATTATTAAACTTTGTATTAATTACATGCATATTTAAATGAGAATTAAGTTTATATTAATTTTAGTTTTTGAATTTAAGCTCTTTAATGAAAATAAAATTTATTAATAGAATTAAAAAAAATACATTTTTACATAATGGAGACATTTGCATTCAACAATGTCACTAAATGAATAATTTAGTGGCATTTGTATCATAAAACGTCACTAAAAGTAGCGGCGCTCTTACCAGCAAATGTCACTAGTTAAGTGACATTTTTTTATACAAACGTTACCAAAGCAATGGCATTTTTCTCATAAAAATGTCACTAAATTAGCGGCATCTCAAATATACAAATGCCTTTAATATAGAGGCCATTTTCATATACAAACGCCTCTAAAGTAGCGGTATTTTCAGTTAGCACTTTGACTGACGTTTTTCGTAAACACCGTAAATCTTTTAGTGGCATTTATAAATGCTGCAAAAGGTTAAAAAAATGCCACTAAAAACGTAAACCCTTGTAGTGATTGTATAAAACTTTACCCAACCCGACTTGATCCGAAATTAATTAAATAGATTTTTTTAAATATAAAATATTATTTTTTAATATAAATATAATATATTAAATTAAATAAATAATTAAAAATAATTATATATATCAGGGTGGAACGGGTTTACCTAAAACCTGACTTAACCCAAAATTTTATTTTCAGAAAAGAAAATGACCCTATGAAGTCGGGTTAGGTCAGAACCCGCCAGGTACAGGTGGAGCTGCCATCCCTAATTATATCTATTCTCATGCCCATCTTAATGGGAATTTCAAATTTATCTACATCCTCATCTCACGGGTATTTAATGGTATAGATAATCTTCATATTAGCTTTTTTTAAAAAATAAAAACCAAAATTTATTTTTTGTTAGTTTTCTTTATTTTTATCTTTTATATTTGAGTTTATAAATATATATTAATATATATTTTTTCAATAAAAATATATTAATTATAATTAATCTAAAATAATAATTTATATTGTTTAATGAAATTTTTTTTATTAAATATATATAGGGTATATGTACAGGGTAGGTGCTATATTACCATCAACATCCCATACTCAATAAAAATTTAAAATCATATTCATCCATATTTTCATTCCTATACCCACAATATAATATCTATCTTCATTCTTATTTAGATAAAAAATCGAGTTTGCTATTTGGTATGAATAAAATTTACATTTCTAATAAAAAATCCATGTATGTAATTTATATGGCACTATTTCAGGTGATTATTAGGCTCTATTTTGGCTTGAATTTTATTTTATAGAAATTATTATTGACTAAACTGAATTGTCTAGATCCTTAGTGTATTTTCATGCTTTCCCGCTAATATTTTGTCCAAATACCCAGCAAATGCTATGTTTCTACTCTGTAATAACTTTCAGCCCTTCCTCATCATACGCCATTGAATCATCAATCATCAACGCTAATTCTCAGTATCATGCCAGATTCAGTTCAGACTCATCCTCCCTTTGGGTTGCTAAATTATTGCCACCAAAAGTCAGCTCATATCACTTATCAGATCAAGTTTATATCTATTTTGTATTGGTTCACATTGCAAAGTTGTGATATGGATTCATGGAAGATGAAAAAATATATTACTTAGGAAAAAATTTATAAAAATAAAAATTAATGAATGACTGGAGTGGTTAGAAAATTATTGACTCATAAAATATTAAAAAGTGACTAGAATTAAATAAATCCAATTCAAGAAAACCAACAGAACCTAGTAGGTGAGAAAATTATTGCTGAAAAATAATGGAAGAAAGAGAAAAATAGAAGGGATCAATAATTCAGAAGTGTATAAATTATGCCATGTCCCACTAGCGAAAGCTATGAAGACCTGACAATCGTGATAATGATATATCAGATTTCTTCAAAAATTTATAGTATCACAAATAATTAAAGGTGTGAACTTAAAAGGTATTGCTCCTAAGTGCGTAATAAGCTCCAAATTTAAATTCGGTATAATTATTATGGAATTGAATTTGAATTTGAATAATTTGATTTATTGAGTTAATAAAATTTTAATATTTTAATAATTAATTTAAATAATTTGTGAGTTTAATTAAATTATTATATTTAATATATTTAATTATTTTAATTAAAAAAGTATTATTTTATTTATATATATCAATTTAAATTCATATTTATATTTGAAAACAAATAATCAAATTTGCAATTAAAAAAATCAAATTTATTTTTATTTCATAAACAAATTTAATCAAGTTAATTTAAATTATTTAATTTTTATGTGAAATTAAATTTATATTTAAAAATTAAAATTTAATCAAATTTTAAATTAAACTTCGAATATCAATTTGAAATCGACCTCCAACCAAAAATTTTCACCGTATCTACGCTACCAGACTCTATTAACATTATAGCCGTAGTGGCTTCCAGGTCCGAAGAAAAGGAAATGATGTTTGGTCCATTGTCTTGCTGCCTTCCACTAAGGATTTGAATAAGGGGAATAAAAAAAAGGAAAAACAATACTCCGTCGGTCTTCTTTTTTTTATATCTCGAAATTATCATTTTTTTAATGTCTAAAATTTTATTTTTATATTTTAAAATTATTTTGTTTTTAAATATTAAAAATCGTAAAATTTTAATTTTATAAAAAATTTTAAATTTTAATATTAAATATATTAAAAAATTTAAAAAATTTTTTTTGTAAAAATCATACATTAAAACAATTTTTAAAAAGAAAATAGTATCATGACAAAGAGAATCCAAAGAAACTAAAAAAGTCTTTTGACAAAAAATCATTAAAAATAAAATATACTGTGAGAATTCATGCATAAATAAACCGTTGGAAAGTAATGTATATATATATATGTTTTGCCTAAACATATGATAACAATGACTCCACCCAATTGTTGTTTGACTTTTCTTATCATAACAAATTTGAAAAGTGCACGTCAATGAGCTATACATGTTTTGCCTTGCACGAAAGAGTTGGGATCAGCCAAAGGCTGCGTTATTTCTCTGCTATTTCCTAAACAGATTCATTGACTTCCCCTTCCTACCTTTCAGTTTCTTCTTTTCCATCACTGCAGACAACATAATGGTTAGCAGGAACATCGATTGTGGTTCTGTTCTGAGCCTTTCCTCGATTCACTGCTTTTTTTTGTTTTTCTCTGGTCTTGCTTTTAACAAATTCTTGTCAGGATCTAACTCCAAAAACTCTGTCGGGACAGGTACTTCTTTAACCTCTCACTATTTTTTATTCCATCAATTGCAAGACCTTTTTAGGTGGGTTTTTTCTTTTTTCTTTTTTTTAAATTCTTTTGCTTTCAATCTGGTGTGGATTATAGAATAATACAGATGTTTTTTAGAGCTAGCAAATTTGTAGAGGAAGCGATTAGAGCACAATAAATATTTTTCTTGAATGCATTTAGATCAATCACTTTTAAAACTTTTGAAATTCACACTTTAATATAAGACAAACATGATATATGCCAATCAATAGTTTATTTTTGAACTAACCTACCAATATACCTAAACAATACAATTTAACAGAAAATCAATTTGTTTGATTGTAAGAGAAAAGGAAGATAGAGATTTAAATATAAACATATGATTATTACACCAATTATTCACTTAGGTAAATATCTTTTAAGGTTTTTTTTTTTTGTCCAGTATTAATTCAAGAAAGAGAAATAAGCTTAATTTTATGCAATCAAGAGAAATATTTAACAAAAATGAAAAAGATTGGTTTCCTCTTACTTCAAAAATGATAAAAGGATGACCTTCATTTTACTTGATAATTACATTGTTTTGATTTAATAACCAATTAGTTAAGGATTTTTCTTGTTGTGTCTGTCGCTATTGAAATCAAGAGAAATAAATTTTTATGAAATCAAGAGAAATTAACACAAACTAAAAAGGAATGGGTTTCAATTTACTTGACAATTAAATAGTTTTTATTAATAACCAATTAATTAGTTATTTCTATCTTATTTTTCATGGTTCTGTAATGATTTAGTTTACATATTTGCAAGAGAATGCACATAACTCTTTAACAAAGGAGTTTCCAAATATCAATGATAGAACCCAATTGTCACTGTCATGAAGAAAATTTTGAGTTTTAATTAAAGTTTTCTTCTTTTGAATCACAATTTTTAATGCTTTTCGTGGCAAAGAAGTACTTGACCGTATCAAAAGAAATTTTTAAAAAATGTTTTTGTACTTTTTATTGAACCGATCTCAATATTGAAATTTGAGGAGAAAACAATTAAAGCGCTGTAAATTTTTATAAGAGTACTTAGATTAATTATTTTTAAAATTTTTGAAATTCATTCTTTTATATATAAAATATAGAAGATATATAGAAGATAAACATAATATATGCCAATCAATGTTTTATTCTCGAACTAATCTGTCAACTTGCCAATTTTGATGCAGGGGCATTATAGCTAATGCAATGTGTGACGTTGTTGGGCCAATCCTTGAAGTTATAAAGTTCATCGGCCGTCCAGCTATAAGATATCTTAATTACCACAGAAAATTCAACAAATACGTGGATAACTTCAAACAGGCTCAAGCAGATTTGCGTGCTAGGGAGGCGGATATTCAACAAAAACTGCAAGACGAGCATCATTTTGGGAAAAAGCCAAAGCAGGAAGTTGAAAATTGGTTCAAAATAGTAAAGGAGAAGATTAGTCGTGCACAAGGTGTTGAAGATAAAGTCAGTAAAGGGAAATTCTAATTCCGCTCTTGCTTAGGGAAGGTTGTTGACGAAATGACTCAAGAAATTAAGGAAGTATGTGCTAAAGGTCGATTCTCCGATGGCTTGGTGGTTAACGATCCTTCAGCTCCAAAGCTCAAACTCCCAACAGAAAAGTTAGCAGGCGCTACTAAAGCAGAAGAAATTTACCAATACTTGATGGGCGATGAAGTTAGAATGATTGGAGTGTGTGGGATGGGAGGAATAGGCAAAACAACAATAATGAAGCATGTCCATAATAACTTGTTGGAAGAAACCAAATTTAGCAAATTAATTTGGACAACTGTATCTCAGGACTTTGATATTCGAAGTTTACAAAAGAAAATTGCATGTCAATTGAACGAAGAGTTGTCAGATGATGAAGATACAACCATACGTGCAGCAAAGTTATCAGAAATGTTGAGGAAACAAGGGAGGTATGTGCTAATATTGGATGATGTATGGAGCAACTTTTCTCTTGTGGATGTCGGAATCCTTGAGCCAACAACAGATAATGGATGTAAATTAGTGCTGACAACACGTTCAGAAGAGGTTGTTCGATCAATGGGCTGTAAGAAAGTCCAAGTGTTGTGTCTTTCTGCAGATGAGGCTTTGCAGTTATTTTTAAGCAAAGTTGGACAAGACATGTTGCCTAATCCAACTTTAGAATCAATTATGAAAGATATTGTGGGAGAATGTGATGGACTTCCTCTTGGAATTGTCACAGTAGCTGGATGTATGAGGGGAATATCCGATCCTCTTGTGTGGGAAAATGCTTTGAATGAATTGAAAGGTTACATCAGAAACATCCGGGACATGAAAGATAAGGTGTTTGGATGTTTACAATTCAGCTATGATCGTCTAGAACAAATAGACCAAGATTGTTTTCTGTATTGTGCATTATATCCTGAAGATCATGAAATCTATAAAGAGGAGATAATTGGATATTGGATGGAAGAAGGGCTTATAGATGAAATGGGAACTAGAAAAGCAATGGATGATTGCGGTTATTCTATTTTGCAGAAGCTTGAAGATAACTGTTTGCTAGAAAGGATTGAGGGGGTTACATATACAAAGATGCATGATGTTGTTAGAGATATGGCGTTGCATATCACAAGAAAAAGATTTTTGATAAAAGCTGGTATGCAATTGGAAGAGCTACCAAATGAGGAAGAATGGACTGATGATTTGGAGAAGATTTCTTTAATGCACAATTCCATATCAACAATTCCTCAAAATATGAAGTCTCCAAAATGTCAAAAGCTCACAACCTTGCTGCTCTCAAGAAATTCATTGAAAGAAATTCCGGAATCTTTCTTTAAGCACATTCCTAATCTTAAGATTCTTGATCTTTCTAACAATCCTATTGCGAATTTGCCAAATTCTATCTCTAATCTGGAGAATCTCACTGCATTGTTGCTGCATGGTTGTGGCAATTTAGATAATCTGCCATCTTTATCGAAGCTTCAAGCTTTGAAGAAATTGGACCTTGGAAACACTTCAATCAAGGAAATCCCTCAAGATTTGGAAATGGTGGTAAATCTTAGATATCTCAATCTTAGATTTACCGAGCGTTTAAAAGAGATCCCCAATGGATTATTGTCAAAATTGTATCGTCTTCAGTATTTGGCAATACATCCAGCACCATCAGGAGCAACAGAGATAAGGGAATTGAAGAAGTTGGAATTTTATGAAGGTTGTTTTAGTAACGTGGGTGACTTGAACATGTATGCTAGTCAGAGAAAAAGGCTTCATAAATACTTGATTTGGGTGAGTCACCGGTTGCGTTATCATCACTATTATCATTCTGTGGAATATAGTAAAATGGTTGCATTTGTGGGTTTTGATATTAATTCTGGAGACGGAATTATCCTTCCATATGACATCCAGCAATTACTAGTTATTCAGTGTAAAGGTGTGAAAAGTTTAAACGATATTTGTGGATTGAAAGATGCAACTGATTTGAAGGGATGTGGAATTTTTAAATGTGAGGAGTTGGAGTACATTTTTTCATCCGGTTCTCAACTTCAAACACTTGAGTCTCTAAATCTAAGTTATTTGGAGAATTTGAAGGCTTTAGTCGAAGAGTCATCAGTGGGCACATTTTCCTCCCTCAAAGAAATCTATCTATATGGTTGTGGAAAAATAAAGAAATTGTTGTCAGCTAAGTGGGTTCTGCACAACTTGGAAGAGATCACTGTCAGGCATTGCAAGGAAATGGAGGAAATAATAGAATCAGAGGAAGAAGGAACGGGTACCATCAAATATACTCTTCCCAAACTAAGGAAATTGAAATTATCATTTTTACCAAATTTGAAGAGCATTTGTAGTAAACATGGAGTAAGTGATTCTCTCCAATGTATTGAAATAGTGGATTGTCCAGAGCTAAAGCAGATTCCCCTGCATGACCTTGATAAGGAAAAGCCATATCCTCCTTCTCTCAAGGAAATCTGCGTGGATCCAAAAGAATGGTGGGAATCAGTGGAATGGGACCATCCCCAGGCAAACAATGTCCTTCTACCCTTCCTCAAGTTTTGGGATAAGGGCCATTGGAAGCAAGCTGCTTGATGAAGTATCTTTAAAATCATAATGTGAGTCTTTTTTTTATATATAGTATACAATTGCAAATCTAGTTTCATCTTTTTTTTATTTCATTTTTTCTGTGTTTATAACATAAAAATACTAGTATTTCTATTCTTATACGGTTTATCTATTTTGGTAGATACATAAAACGGGGAAGAAGGCTGCAGGCCCTAATGCTGAAGTTAGATCACAATCCAAACATTTATTGCTTTCTCATTCTCATGTACAGATGCAGTGTTCCTCGTAATTAAATCATAAACCTTGATTGCATTGTTTTTTCTTTTTTTTTTTTTCCTTTTTATGACTTTTTCATTCCATTTGTGTGTAAAGGTTAATATGCATTATAAATTCGTATATTTATATTTGCCATTGTATAAAATTTCCTTGCTTTCCTATTAGAATTTGTTTTCTTCTTTTAATCCTTCCTCATCACAGAATAAAAGGCTTGCTTTGAAAAGTAGTGAAATTATGATATGTCTTATGCTATATATAGAATTTAGTTCAAGTAAATATTGAAAAGTATGGATCACACAATTTTAATTGCCCATCCAAAAATCTATTTGCCATATGATTTTTTTTCTACATTAAATAAGAATACTTTTTAGAAGAAATTTGATTATCAAATAGATGAGTGAATGCACTATTCAAACGGAGAACTCTGAGCAATTCATACATTGTGCGAAATAGAAATAAAAAATATTCTGACTGATTCTTTGTTAAATATTTTCCTTCGATTCTTCTACCAGATTGAATCAGTTTTTTGCATCAAATCAAACTCATGATCCAAATGCAAATTATACAATTCTAACCTTGGCAGGTTGACATTAAGCAGGACAAAGAAAAACTCATAAGAAGATCAACGATAAAACATAAGCCAAATAGATAAATAAATCCATTTGAAAATCTGAACTTCTTAGTGGATTTTGAAAGGAAGAAAGAAAAATCCTTACTAAATTTCTATTATAGATATTGCAGTCATTTTTGTGTATCCTTTTCTACAATGGGATATAGAACAAAGCTCTGTTGTTTCTTCAATATTTCCTGATCCTTTACTTCCTCTCTTTTGAGACCTATCTCTCCAATGAAACGAAAACCGTTTGTCCAGGCCAATATATCACTCTCTGGTAGTCAAACTATCGCCTCAAAAAATGGAAGGTTTGATCATTGAACTCGATGAATATATTCCCCTGTTGCAGTTCTTGAGAACAGTCGAAACCTTGTTTTGAGAAATAATTCAAACCCTTCAGTTATAGTAGCTCGAATCTTTGATCAGCTGACAGATACTTTGTTGTCTGGTGCCAAGCTTGGAATTGACAAGATGACCAAGAGATGGTAAATTATTGATTAAATACAAACAAAACTAAATTATTGAATAATACTATTTCTCTCTATTTTGCTTTTAGTAAAGCTTTTTTTTATTTCTCTTTTCAGTCCATCACATCTAGCATCTACTAATATTTGGTATTTAGACAAGAATAACACCGCTCCTACAACATTTTTTGTTTTTCTTATTCTCCACCAGTCACCATCTTTGGAAACATTATTTGGCGGAAACCACTTTAAAGCGCTCCACTAATTATTTCAGCTTTTTAACAGGGCCCCATGACAAATTGGACCTTTGTTGACTAGCCACAGTGGTTTTCCTAGAAAGCATAAGACCCATGCCACCACCGGTCAAATAACTCAAACAGCTCAAGCAGAATACTAAAATTTGTTCTTGTTTCTACTGTTCCCTGGAATTTCTTTATCTACTTTCCTCCAAGGTAAAATTTCTGGTTTCCTTTCTTATTTGGATCTCTAGAAGTGCTGGAAAGAGCCCCAGTAGTCCTCACAGCTTGATTCCAAAGTGATCAGGTAAGCTGCAAGAACAGCTCCTACTTAAATCGTCTTAATTATATCCCTGTTTCTGTGCTGCCATTTCTCTTAGCTATTTTAATTTTTAGTAGAATCTGATTAATGTGTATGCATTTATACTTGCTTTTTTTTTCTTAAGCCTTATTTTTATGTTCATGTTTGTTGGTGGAGTGACCGTTGAATAGTAGAGTATTAATTCTCATGATCAAGTTTAATTTTTGATAACTTTTAATATAAAAAATATTAGTTTGTTGCATATCTAGTTGTAATCATTTGATGATGGAGGAGATCATTTATTTTATGTGGATCTCGTATATAAAATCTGTAATACCCGTAAAAAAAAAAGGGATTATTTTAAGTATTTTTATAAGGGGGGACTTTTTAATAAAGAATGAAAAATGTAGATGACTTATTGATAAATAATCTAATTTTTATTAATAGGGTTAACTTTTCAGTTTTCAGTCGATCACTAATCGAAAGAAAAATAAAAACTTATTTCTCCTCTGTTTCTTATACAGAAAAGATCAATTGAAGGATTCCAAGTGAAGGGAAATAACAAATCTACAAGGAGAAATTGTCTATTAGAGGTGAGTAAATAATCTCGTTCAATTTTGGAGTATTGATGGTTAAGTCTTAAGGTGTAATTTGTAATCGAGAAACCCTAAAATTTTAGGTTTCCATTATCCCTCTTTGGGCAAATGATTTAGACTTTAATTAAGGTCAAATTAAGTGTTGAGAAAGTTAGTAATGTGAATTTATTGCTGAAACAAAAATTTGATGGGAATAGACAGGAAAATCTTTGTTTTGAATAAATCCTGATATAAATTTTGTGTTTACAGTGATGAATTAAGGTTATATTCTGTATTAAAGGGTTAAATACTGCTATGATTATTATATATTGTTGGAAGGCATGTTGAGTCTACTTTCTAATGAAACAAATGGGAGTTGAATCCGAATTTACTATGAAGAGTTATCCAATTTTTACCTAACGCTGTGCAGGCTACCTAGTAGCAGCAGTAGAGAGGACTTACGAAATTTCCCTTAATTTTTATACAAGGATTTACAATTAAGCCATATATGTTTAGAAAGCTTATTGAGTCTACTTTCCAATGAAATAAGCGGAATTGAATTTGGAGTTACCTATGAATAAATACGTAATTTTTATGAAAAGATATATAAGCTGTCTGGCAGCAGCATATAACGTGGATTTCAAAAATTGTTATAATTAATCCACAAGGAATCACGAGATGGGCCATATATGGTTAGAAAGTTTGTCGAGTCTAGTATCTTACAAATTAAAAGGACTTTAATTCCAAATTGGATATCCTGAGATATGGTCATTTTAGTAGAAGTAGTACAGGCTGCCAGAATTAATTACTCGAGTTATTACTTCTTTAACTTAATTGTTTTGGTATAAGTGGCCTTAAATGGGTTGATTAATTATTGTTATGTTGGAATTATCTTGAATAGGCCACTAATTTTTAAGGGAGAAAAACTAGATGGTGGAATCGGAAGAAGGTAAGTAAAATCTCATACACTTTGCTTGTTTTCGAATCTACGTATATATATATATATATATGTTTCTAAATGAAAGAATGTTTTATTTCTTTATTTTCGTTATATGAAAATAAGATCAAGCATATGATTATTTTGTGTTTCTTTATATAAATGATGGATCATACTTATGAATGAAATGAGAAAATGATTTATGTTTAAAGAATGATTTTATGAGGGCTACATTTTTACATCCCTGGGAAGTGGGATCATCGACACTAGAACTAGTTCTACGGCCCTGGCTAACGAGTTATAGTAGTTAGCATAGACATGATCATACGGCCATACTAACGAGTTATAGTAGTTAGCGTAAGGCCCTAGCTAGCGGGTTATAATAGTTAGCAATGATCATGATGATGAAATTGTTGATACGGCTAATATCACGAGTTATAACAGTGACCGTAGCTAATTATAAATGATTGATAATGATGATTTATGATTATAATGGTTTGTAATAATTTTTAATGATTGATCCATGATTTGGTGATATGTTTTGATTTTGATTTATGATCTATGAATGCTTAATAGAAAGCTGATTTTTAAACTATTTTTGACATTATAAGTTGATGAACGTTTTGAGAATGATCTATATGACATGTATGAAAAATGTTGTTTGATCCGGTGAGATGTGTGAGCCTTTACTTACTAAGCTGTGGTTTGCTCATTTCCTATTTTCTTTTACAGATGTTATGAATGATAAGTATGATTAGCTTGAGAAGGGTTAGAAGAATTGAGCATTGAAGAACTACTTAGAAATTAAGATTTTATGAAGTATTGTTTATTTTAGTTGTAATACTCGACTTTGAACCTTTGAAGACTTGTTATCTAGTTATATTACTTAATGAGAACCTTTATATTTGAAAGTTATTTAATGGTTATAGACTAGGCTTCGTATTGCTTTGAGGTTTTATTTCAAGGTAATATGGTCGTGTTATGTCTCGATTCGGGGCGTGACAAAATCACTCGAAGAATGCTTGTGATTAATTCAAGCAATGAGATATCGTTGTATAGGATATGATCATGCCAACTTATAGTCTTTCTTCACCAGAAAATTGCACTACATTAATTAGTACATAAGTTTTTCTAAGCACTAGGTGAAGATCTCTTACAGCATTTTTGTTTAATTTTCAAACACGGTGTAGACACCTCAATTTGCCTTGGGGTCTACATTTGTTAATAAAAAATAATTTAAAAAATTAAAAAAGTTGAGAAAAACAAAAAAAAAGTTGAATTTAGGTTAGAATCAGGTTGTAGGGATAAGGGTAAAGTTTAACATAAATTGAAATTCCTAATCGGATAGGGATTCTCTAGCTTTTGTCCTATAAATAGAGACCCTAAGTGAGGCTAAAAGAACACGCAGAAAGTATACAAAATAGAAGAAATCAGAAGCAAAAAAGGGGGTTCCAAGGAATAGAAGCAGTGTTCTAGAATTTTTTGGAAAATTTTTGAATTTTTGGATTTTTTTCTGGGAAATTTCAGATTTCGTGCAATTTTTCGACGACATTCAAGTTTTTTGATGAATATTTCGGTGAAAAACCCAGTTTTCGATGTGTTTTTCAGATTCTGATAGAACATTCAACCAAATCTGGGTTTTGTTTAGAGAGAAAGAAGAGAAAAAGAAGGGAAAAGAGAGAAGAAAGAAGACGCATTTGCTAAAAAGCTGAGTTTTTAGCCTTATATACACTGCTAAAACGACATTGTTTTGACGTTAGTAAACCCAGAAGATCCGTGCGTTTCTGTTTGGGCCAACCGACCCGTAGCATAACCCACTTCAACCTGCTTTTCACCTATTCCCTGTTTAGCCACAGAGCTGAGCCGAGCCATACCTCGAGCCGTGCTGTTTCAGCCCCTTTTGTGTCTGAATCAAGCCACACCAACCTTCCAACCGAGCGCTTTGATTTTTTTTGTATTTTGTATTTATTTATTATTTTATTTTTGTGTGTTTATATTTTATTTTTTTTAGAGTTTTTTTTTTGCATGAATAATTAGAAAAAAAATAATTTAAAAAAAAAGACATTTTAAGTAAAAAATTGAAATTATCAAGTTTCCTTTAAAAAAAATAAATTTTCAAAAAGCATTTTAAGGAAAGTTTAAAGTATCAATTTTTCTTAAAAATAAATTTCTAAAATAAAAATTCTAAAAGCATTTTAGGAGAAAGTTGAAAAGTATCAATTTCCTTGAAAATGAAAAGCTTAAAAAAATGATTTTTAGAAAAAAGTTGAAAGTATCAATTTTTCTTGAAATTAAAATTTCAGAAAAAAAAACATTTCGAGGAAAAGTTGGAAGTATCCATTTTTCTTAAAAATAAAAATTATCAAGAAAAATTAAGAAAAATATTTTAAGGAAAAGTTGAAAGTATCAATTTTTTTTGTACAAAAGCAACGAGTTTTTTTTAAATAAAAAGAAAAGGATTTATATCAAAAGTTGAATCATTATTTTTTTTTCTTATTTTATTTTATTTTTTCTCTTCTTTTTTGTAAATTTTTTTTATGTTAAATAATCCGACAATGAAGTCTCTGTAACTGAAACAGTAGTTTTTTTGTATACTCTTGAAGTGAGAGAATTTTCTTAATTTTCTGCCAAAAGTATTGGAGTCAATTAAGAATAATTTCTGATAATTAATTACTTGGTAAAATTTTTTTAACGCTTATTGGATAACATGAAATTAAGCTGGTACCATCCTTCGATGGATGTTGTGAGGGTGCTACAACCTTTCTCACACGTAACCGTACTCTCGAATCATGTTCTAATTAATAGACCCGAACCTATTTTTTTAGGGATCCTTAGTCAAGCTTAGGTGCTTCTTGAAAGGATAGATTCCTTAGGTGGCCAATCGCACCTAAAAAAAAAGATTGGTGATGACTTGTCAAGTTAATGTCTAGCGATAGATCCCCGGATCTAGACGTTATGACAGTTTGACGACTCCACTAGAGAAAACCGAGAGTCAAGCCAGCAAATAAATTTGTGTTATCCAAAAAAGCCTAATAAAATTTAATTCTTTGTAAGGATTTTTTTTTCTTTCTTTTCCATTCATTTTATTTATTTATGTTGCAAACTATGTCATTCATATGCATATGCATAACATGAGCTCTATACCCGAGTTTCGTCCCTCTAGGAAGGAATAAAGCACATATGCTTTCGTGAGGTTCTAATGCCTCTGCAATGGCTAGCGAAATACTCTCACTCAAACTGAATCCTTTCCGTTGGTAGCCTGTGATCGGTAAGGTTTGGATTGTCTTACTAGTCTGTGATAGACGATGATGTAAGAAATAATTTGAGAACATTTAGTAGTCAAAATTGTCTAACTTGGCATATAGTGTACGCTTAAGAGGCCAGCCCTAAGATAGAGCCCTTTCTACCCAATGATAGATATACCCTGAAAGTAAGACACAAGAAGGAACAAGTTGTGTTTATCTAATTGTTTTGATTGTCTGACTTTGTGCATCATTTTCATTATTATATGTAACATTATGCATCTGCATCACTTTCATTTCATCCATGATCTAACTATTTTGTTTGTTTAACTTTGTGCATTTGCATACATCATTGTCATATTTAACATCGTGCATCTGCATCAGTTTCATATTTCATCTATGCATCAACATACCAAACATAAAGCATAGCATAATATTTTTAATCATAATTGTGGTGCCAAAGGTTCAAGGATAGCTCCACCAAGCAACCTCACTCACCAGTACAATACAAGAGCTTAAGCTAGATAAATGGAACAGAAAAATTCCAACCGTCTCGAAAAGATAAAGAAAGCCCAAGAGAAGCTTGAAGGGAAATTAAACAGAATTCTAGAAGTCGTGAACAAGTTAAACAAAGGGAAGGTAATAGAGGAGAATTCTAGCCAACAAGACTATCCCTCACAAAAGGAGGATGACCACTGTTCCATCCTAGTTTTAGGCCACTTCAAGCCTAACCAGCACAAGGTCCACCATCATAATAGTTCACATATCTAGTAAGGTACATATACCTTGAAATGCCATCAGCTTCAAATCCAGGATAGTACCAGAACTACATAAATCTTGTCTTTATTGAAAGGTAGTAGAACCAATACCAGTCCCTAATTTGGATGATCCAGAGGATAAAGAAAATTTGAGGCCCAAGAAGGATGAGACTTTAGAAGCTTCAAAAGCTAAACAGAAATGAACCTGTTAGAGGAAAGGCTACGGGCCATAGAGGGTATTAGTTTTTATGGTTTAGTAGATGCTACTGAGCTTTGTTTAGTCTCAGATATGGTAATTTCTTTGAAATTCAAAGTGCCAGAGTTTGAGAAGTATGATGGTATAAAGTGTTCGAAAACCCACATTACCATGTACTGTTGAAAAATGATTGCCCATACTAATAATGAAAAGCTATTGATGCATGTATTCCAAGATAGCCTTACGAGCTCTGCTGCTAGATGGTATGTCTAGCTGGACAAGACCCATATTCGTTCTTGGAATGATATGGCCCATGCCTTCATTAGTCAATATCGACATATTATAGACTTGGCCCCAGATCGCCTTTCATTACAGAATATGAAAATGAAAGCTACTAAATCATTTAAAGAGTATGCCCGAAGATGAAGGGATATCACTTCTCAGGTGCAACCTCCTCTAACTGAGAAAGAGATCATGGTGTTGTTCGTCAGTACTTTAAAACCTCCCTATTATGAAAAGATGATAGGGAATACCACAAAAAATTTCATCGACATGGTAATTTCGGGTGAAATTATTGAAAGTGCCATTAAAAATGGCAAGTTGAAAGGAAGAGAAACGAAAAAAGTGCCCAAGAAAAAAAAGATCGAAGCTTAAGTCGTGAGCTTTAGTAGACAATTCAGAGGATATCAATATTATCCACCACAAGGTTATCCCCTACTCTATCCTGCTGGGAACAATATCTCACCTTACCCATATCAACCATATCCATAACCAGCTTACTCATCAACTTACCAATCAACCTTTAAATACCTGCATATGATTCTAGTCATATCACTTCTCAGCTTCAAAGCCTAACAACCAAGCAAGTAGTTTAAGAAGATCTCGAGATAACAAAAAAAGAGCACAAATTGACCCTATCCCTATGACCTATACTGAATTATTCTCAGAACTCGTCAAGAATAACTTGGTTTCTTCAGTTATTCTAGAACCATTGAAGCCACTCTATCTAAAATGATATGATGCTAGTGTAACGTGTTATTATCACAATGGAAACGTAGGTCATTCTATTGAAACCTACCCTACTTTTAAACACAAAGTGCAAAGTTTGATCTAGTAAGGCTTAGTGAGCTTCGACAAATCAGGGGGCAAGATGTCAATTAAAATCCTTCGCTTAATTGCACAAGGGCATAATTTTAAAAAGGTTGTTAAGGCTGTTGGAAACTGCTTGTCATTTTAAGATTACTTTCATAGTAATGTTAGAAATTCTTTTTGGCAATATGATTTCACTTGTTATCATTTTAATAAAGGCAAGTTAATGCATTTCATTACATTTTCTCTTTCATTCAACCATTATTCCATGCTCTGTTACCTTTTATAACTTTTCATTCCTATTCTCAAATTTCAAATAATGAATGTTTAGACAATGATAACAATAATTCTGAGATTTAATTTTGAGAACTCATTCACATTGATCTGAGGAGACTATTTGAACAAAAGAAGCCAGTTACTAATAGATGTAAAATTAATATATCTTAAAGATGTGCAATCTTTTTATACAAATCCATGAGCTCATTTTTGCTCAATAGATGATGTTCAAGGAAAGCATTCACATTTGAGATGAAAAATGGTCATCTTTTTTTTACCATTCGAAAAATTATTCATTGCTACCCCTTTAAGCATATTATGATTTCTTTTCTAAAGAACTCTGACCAAGGATCACCCTCTACACTGAGGGGTATTTTTTTTGAAAAAAAAGGTAAAAAAAAAATCATAAAAGGTCTCAAAGATAGAAAAAAAAAAGAAAGAAAAAAAGAAAACAAAAAGGAAAATGAATGCCACACATGATTTGGGTCAAAATAAGGGGAATCCTTTTATGGAGAATGAGATCGATGGAAAAAGGAAAAAACAATGAAATGAAGTGGAAAAGGGCAAAATGCCAAGTTGTTTCAAATGATAAGAAGTGATCCTTTGGTTTTAAACCCTTTAAAC